TGCGCTACCAACCCAGCTACGGGGCACCGATAGCTCTTTCAGTGACTAGCATTGAAACCAGTCCCTGGAAGAATCAAACTCGATACACAGCTTCAAGAGCAGGTATGATACGGCTCAACAAATAAGGCCAGAAACTAGCAAAGCCTCTACAGCGGGGCCAGGAGCCATGACTCAACCCCTGTAAAGGAAAATAAGCCAGTACAACAAACGTGAAACTATGTGGGCGGTGGTACAGAAATAGATGGAATGTGTGTGAAGCCGTAGTTGTTAATACCTGGGAGATTTAATGTGGGAGGTGTGTGGGAGGTGTTAGGTGTGTGGGAGATGTGTTAGGTGCGTGGGAGAGGAGCTAGGTGTGTGGGAGATGTGTTAAGTGTGTGGGAGAGGAGTTAGGTGTGTGGGAGATGTGTTAGGTGTGTGGGAGAGGTGTTAGGTGTGTGGGAGAGGTGTTAGGTGTGTGGGAGGTGTTAGGTGTGTGGGAGGTGCTAGTTGTGAGGGAGGTGTTAGGTGTGTGGGAGATGTTAGGTGTGTGGGAGGTGCTAGGTGTGAGGGAGGTGTTAGGCGTGTGGGAGGTGTTAGGTGTGGGGGAGGTGTTAGGTGTGAGGGAGGTGTTAGGTGTGTGGGAGGTGTTAGGTGTGTGGGAGGTATTAGGTGTGTGGAAGGTGTTAGGTGTGAGGGAGGTGTTAGGTGTGTGGGAGGTGTTAGGTGTATGGGAGGTGTGTGGGAGGTGTTAGGTGTGTGGGAGGTGTTAGGTGTGTGGAAGGTGTTAGGTGTGTGTGAGGTGTGTAGGTGTGTGGGAGGTGTTAGGTGTGTGGAAGGTGTTAGGTGTATGGGAGGTGTGTGTGAGGTGTTAGGTGTGTGTGAGGTGTTAGGTGTGTGTGTGAGGTGTTAGGTGTGTGGGAGGTGCTAGGTGTGAGGGAGGTGTTAGGTGTGTGAAAGGTGTTAGGTGTGTGGAAGGTGTTAGGTGTGTTGGAGGTGTGTGGGAGGTGTTAGGTGTGTGGGAAGGTGTTAGGTGTATGGGAGGTGTTAGGTGTGTGGGAAGGTGTTAGGTGTATGGGAGGTGTTAGGTGTGTGGAAGGTGTTAGGTGTGCAGGAGGTGTTAGGTGTGTGGGAAGGTGTTAGGTGTATGGGAGGTGTTAGGTGTGTGTGAGGTGTTAGGTGTATGGGAGGTGTGTGGGAGGTGTGTGGAGGTGTGAGGGAGGTGTGTGGAGGTGTGTGGGAGGTGTGTGGGAGGTGTGTGTTAGGTGTGTGGGAGGTGTGTGGGAGGTGTGTGGGAGGTGTGTGGGAGGTGTGTTGGAGGTGTGTGGGAGGTGTGTGTGGGAGGTGTGTGGGAGGTGTGTGGGAGGTGTGTTGGAGGTGTGTGGGAGGTTGTGTGGGAGGTGTGTGTTAGGTGTGTGGGAGGTGTGTGGGGAGGTGTGTGGGAGGTGTGGTGGGAGGTGTGTGGGAGGTGTGTGGGAGGTGTGTTGGAGTGTGTGGGAGGTGTGTGGGAGGTGTGTGGGAGGTGTGTGGGAGTGTGTTGGAGGTGTGTGGAGGTGTGTGGGAGGTGTGTGGGAGGTGTGTGGGAGGTGTGTTGGAGGTGTGTGGAGGTGTGTGGGAGGTGTGTGTGTTAGGTGTGTGGGAGGTGTGTGGGAGGTGTGTGGGAGGTGTGTGTGAGGTGTGTGGGAGGTGTGTGGGAGGTGTGTGGGAGGTGTGTGTTAGGTGTTGGGAGGTGTGTGGGAGGTTGTGTGGGAGGTGTGTGGGAGGTGTGTTGGAGGTGTGTGGGAGGTGTGTGGGAGGTGTGTGGGAGGTGTGGGAGGTGTGTGGGAGGTGTGTTGGAGGTGTGTGGGAGGTGTGTGGGAGGTGTGTGTTAGGTGTGTGGGAGGTGTGTGGGAGGTGTGTGTGAGGTGTGTGTGAGGTGTGTGGGAGGTGTGTGGGAGGTGTGTGGGAGGTGTGTGTTAGGTGTGTGGGAGGTGTGTGGGAGGTGTGTGGAGGTGTGTGGGAGGTGTGTGGGAGGTGTGTGGGAGGTGTGTGGGAGGTGTGTGTTAGGTGTGTGGGAGGTGTGTGGGAGGTGTGTGGGAGGTGTGTGGGAGGTGTGTGTTAGGTGCGTGGGAGGTGTGTGGGAGGTGTGTGGGGTGTGTGGGAGGTGTGTGGGAGGTGTGTGTTAGGTGTGTGGGAGGTGTGTGGGAGGTGTGTGTTAGGTGTGTGGGAGGTGTGTGGGAGGTGTGTGGGAGGTGTGTGTTAGGTGTGTGGGAGGTGTGTGGGAGGTGTGTGTTAGGTGTGTGGGAGGTGTGTGGGAGGTGTGTGTTAGGTGTGTGTTAGGTGTGTGGGAGGTGTGTGGGAGGTGTGTGGGAGGTGTGTGTTAGGTGTGTGGGAGGTGTGTGGGAGGTGTTAGACTAACAGTAACAAACAGCACTCTCCAACACACCCGTGATCTGCTGTTTATCAACAACTAATCACGTCACCAACATTTCCCAGACAAGAAAATTGGTTTCCTCTCAGTATTTCTTACGTTGTTATCATATCTCCCCCAGTCCTTCCCTCTCTGACGTATTACAATACACAGGAAACAAACCAACAACTCAAACAGATTAGATGATCTGTCTGTTAGAATTAGAAGTGGATTTAGACATTGAATTGTACACCTCTCTTTAATTTTCTTTATTGAATTCTTAAGTCGAAGTAGAGGTGGTCAGTCCCTCAGACTGGGGGACTGACCACCTCACACACTATTTCTCCAAGGTTGATGGACTGACTGATTACATCATCTTCATATCAGTACTACAACTGCTGCCTCTGTATTTGACTGAAGAGCCTACTGTGTAGGCGAAACGTTTCGATAATGGAGATACCCAACTGTTGGACATGTTTCTTAATCAACTTGTCGCTATTTTATACCATTATCAGCATAACAGGTAACGTAAGAGTGACTGGGAACCAGCCAGTCAGGTACTGCAGTCCTGCACATCTCTACACCTCACTAGTTTTGGTAAGGAGTTAGGACTCTCTGATTGGTTACTTAAGGATGATGGAGAGTTCCCCTATTGGCTAGAGGCATTGTCAACAATTTTAAGTGAGCTGATTGGGCACCAGGACCTTCCAAAGTCACCATACATGTGGGTACTGCACAGAGCCCTGTAAAACTGACAGTATTTATCCAGATACCAGGAGTAGACACGGTGGCAAATATTAACTGACAAATGCTCACTATTCGTTTTTTAGAGTGCAATAGATAAGTATAACTAGCAGCAACACACACACACACAGCAAGGGGCTTTACTGAGCTTCCCCAGCACCCGGACTTTGGCCCAAAGCTGGGGTGTGGCTCCAAAAGGATCCTATAGTACTTGCTGGCTTTGCACCTTTTGGCATCGTCTGCTGCTGTGTAGCTGTCACACACTTCGACCGAGTGTGGGCGGGGTTTGTGGCACCGAAAGGTGTCTAGCTTCTCCAAGTCCCGTGGGGGCCGGGAAATGGGACTAGGCCTGGGGAAAGCTGGTCTCAGGAAACGAAGGGGTAATTGTACCTCCTCCCATGGCATACATTGGTCTGAGACACTCCCACCAAGGCCAGGCCACCTCTTGGAAAAGGTCCGGTCCGGGCGATTATACCGGCGAATCTACTACATACATAAGAACCTGCCTAGTATGGGCCAACAGGCCTGCTGCAGTCTTCCAGATTTCTTATGTTCTTATACCTACCATTCATTTCCAGGAGTCATGGCCACCGCGACCCGTCCCCAGACTAGGTTGTCTGCTGGCCAGCCACTGGCGTCTTCAGTCCAATACGGGGAAGAACGGTGGAAAATGAGAAGTTTGAGGTAATCAGTCCCCCAGCCTTTAGTCAATGTGACCAGTCTATCAGTCTTTTCAAGACTGACTGATTACGTCGACTCCAGGCTGAGGGACTGATTACCTCAACCTCCTTGTGATCTTCAACCATTCATCTCTCTGTTAGACTGAAGAACTCAATGGATGGCCAAATGTTTTCAGAATAAATATATTTCAGTTTTATATTTCTAATCTCCTTCTGGTCATCGCCCCAGCGGCCGTGTCCATGACCAGGCCTTGCGGTGGATCATGGCCTGATCAACCAGGCTGTTACTGCTGGTTGCACGTAGTGTTCTCTGTTTGTATACAGTGAGATTTATGGCTGATTTGCTATTTGAGAGAGAGAGAGAGAGAGAGAGAGAGAGAGAGAGAGAGAGAGAGAGAGAGAGAGAGAGAGAGAGAGAGAGAGGGAGAATGAGAGAGAGTTAGGACACATTTCTTGCCATTTAAATCACTGTGATGACTCCCTCCTGACCTCTAGTGATGTCACCTGACCCTCTCCTGACCTCTTCCCTGGCTCTCCACCCGTCCATGACCTTCCTTAGTGATGTCATCACTCACTCACCCTCTAATGACATCACCGCCAGTCACCGCCCTTCCTGGTGACATCATCAGTCTGCCAGTCACAGTTACCCTACACTCAGTGTCTCTTATGTCAGTACCTGATCAGCCGAGCTGTGGTTTCTACTCCGGTTTACGTGCGGCCAGCAGTAACAGCCTAGTTGACCAGGCCCTGATCCACTACTGCTCTTTCTAATTAAAGGCAAAGAGGACGAAAGAAAGTGAAAAAATTATAGGGGAATAAGCCTATAGGATCACAGATCCTAGAATGAACTTCAATGATCCTACTAGAATAAGTTTTTTCTGCAACACTGCAAGCTCCTGATGACGTGATTGCAACACGAAAGGCCTAGAGCTTCACGTTACATTAAGCAATGAGGCGTGAGAGGAGACTTAAAAGATGAGAGACAGGAGAGAGAGGAGATAGACAGGAAGTGGACCAGCATCTCAACACGTCAGCACGTGAAACAAGGGGTTGCCTGTAAACCCCGGGGAGCTGCCTGGTGTTACAGGTAAACCATTGAGTCTTGAGGTAGCAGTCAGGGGTAGTCAGAAGGGACGTATAATTGGCTCGTCTGTTACAGACCCCGCCCTTGCTGGGCACTTGGACCGCTACTCTGGTGCCCCTATGCAGTGTGGCTTGTGGTGTGGTGTGAGGCAGGGATGTACACAGTGTGGCTCACGGGATGTATACCAGGAGAGCTCCAGGTATATGTATATTGTATAGTATACATACTTCAGGAACAGATAAGTCAACTGTTGATATATATCCAGATGTACACCTGTAAACCCATTTGGGGCCGAGTTCCTAGGCCTATTGTGTATCCATATGTTCTTGTGCTATAATCCATAGGATGGATATGAGGTACACAATAAACTAGCCACTACCTTCCACAGGATGGATATGAGGTACACAGTAAACTAGCCACTACCATCCACAGGATGGACATGAGGTACACAGTAAACTAGCCACTACAATTCACAGGATGGATATGAGGTACACAATAAACTAGCCACTACCATCCACAGGATGGATATGAGGTACACAATAAACTAGCCACTACCATCCACAGGATGGACATGAGGTACACAGTAAACTAGCCACTACAATTCACAGGATGGATATGAGGTACACAATAAACTAGCCACTACCATCCACAGGATGGATATGAGGTACACAATAAACTAGCCACTACCATCCACAGGATGGATATGAGGTACACAATAAACTAGCCACTACCATCCACAGGATGGATATGAGGTACACAGTAAACTAGCCACTAGCATCCACAGGATGGACATGAGGTACACAATAAACTAGCCACTAGCATCCACAGGATGGATATGAGGTACACAATAAACTAGCCACTACCATCCACAGGATGGATATGAGGTACACAATAAACTAGCCACTACCATCCACAGGATGGATATGAGGTACACAATAAACTAGCCACTACCATCCACAGGATGGATATGAGGTACACAATAAACTAGCCACTACCATCCACAGGATGGATATGAGGTACGCAAACTAGCCACTACCATCCACAGGATGGATATGCGGTACGCAAACTAGCCACTACCATCCACAGGATGGACATGGGGTACACAAACTAGCCACTACCATCCACAGGATGGACATGGGGTACACAAACTAGCCACTACCATCCACAGGATGGACATGAGGTACACAAACTAGCCACTACCATCCACAGGATGGACATGAGGTACACAAACTAGCCACTACGATCCACAGGATAGACATAAGTACACAAACTAGCCACTACCATCCACAGGATGGATATTAAGTACACAAACTAGCCACTACCATCCACAGGATGGACATGAGGTACACAAACTAGCCACTACGATCCACAGGATGGATATTAAGTACACAAACTAGCCACTACCATCCACAGGATGGACATGAGGTACACAAACTAGCCACTACGATCCACAGGATGGATATTAAGTACACAAACTAGCCACTACCATCCACAGGATGGACATGAGGTACACAAACTAGCCACTACGATCCACAGGATGGATATTAAGTACACAAACTAGCCACTACCATCCACAGTTTGGATATGAGGTACACAAACTAGTCACAACTATCCAAGGAGCAACATATTAATCTAAGCAGAGTATATCAGCGTATATATACTAAGATGTATACATATCTTAATATATATACACCAAGAGATGTGTGTGTTTTGTAAACAAACGGGTGTATATTTCTATGTATATACACCTCCTACACGAGGGAACAAGACAGTCTAGTAGCCACACACCAGGGAACAAGACAGTCTAGTAGCCACACACGAGGGAACAAGACAGTCTAGTAGCCACACACGAGGAACAAGACAGTCTAGTAGCCACACACGAGGGAACAAGACAGTCTAGTAGCCACACACGAGGGAACAAGACAGTCTAGTAGCCACACACGAGGGAACAAGACAGTCTAGTAGCCACACACGAGGAACAAGACAGTCTAGTAGCCACACACGAGGGAACAAGACAGTCTAGTAGCCACACACGAGGAACAAGACAGTCTGGTAGCCACACACGAGGAACAAGACAGTCAAGTAGCCACACACCAGGGAACAAGACAGTCTAGTAGCCACACACGAGGGAACAAGACAGTCTAGCAGCCACACACCAGGGAACAAGACAGTCTAGTAGCCACACACGAGGAACAAGACAGTCTAGTAGCCACACACCAGGGAACAAGACAGTCTAGTAGCCACACACGATGAACAAGACAGTCTGGTAGCCACACACGAGGAACAAGACAGTCTGGTAGCCACACACGAGGAACAAGACAGTCTAGTAGCCACACACGAGGAACAAGACAGTCTAGTAGCCACACACGATGAACAAGACAGTCTGGTAGCCACACAGGAGGAACAAGACAGTCTAGTAGCCACACACGAGGAACAAGACAGTCTCGTAGCCACACACGAGGAACAAGACAGTCTAGTAGCCACACACGATGAACAAGACAGTCTAGTAGCCACACACGAGGGAACAAGACAGTCTAGTAGCCACACACGAGGAACAAGACAGTCTAGTAGCCACACACGAGGAACAAGACAGTCTAGTAGCCACACACGATGAACAAGACAGTCTGGTAGCCACACATGAGGAACAAGACAGTCTAGTAACCACACACGAGGAACAAGACAGTCTAGTAGCCACACACGAGGAACAAGACAGTCTAGTAGCCACACACGAGGAGCAAGACAGTCTAGTAGCCACACACGAGGAACAAGACAGTCTAGTAGCCACACACGATGAACAAGACAGTCTAGTAGCCACACACGATGAACAAGACAGTCTGGTAGCCACACACGAGGAACAAGACAGTCTAGTAGCCACCCACGAGGAACAAGACAGTCTAGTAGCCACACACGAGGAACAAGACAGTCTAGTAGCCACACACGAGGAACAAGACAGTCTAGTAGCCACACACGATGAACAAGACAGTCTAGTAGCCACACACCAGGGAACAAGACAGTCTAGTAGCCACACACGAGGAACAAGACAGTCTACTAGCCACGCACGAGGAACAAGACAGTCTAGTAGCCACACACGAGGAACAAGACAGTCTAGTAGCCACACACGAGGAACAAGACAGTCTAGTAGCCACACACGAGGAACAAGACAGTCTAGTAGCCACACACGATGAACAAGACAGTCTAGTAGCCACACACGATGAACAAGACAGTCTGGTAGCCACACACGAGGAACAAGACAGTCTAGTAGCCACCCACGAGGAACAAGACAGTCTAGTAGCCACACACGAGGAACAAGACAGTCTAGTAGCCACACACGAGGAACAAGACAGTCTAGTAGCCACACACGATGAACAAGACAGTCTAGTAGCCACACACCAGGGAACAAGACAGTCTAGTAGCCACACACGAGGAACAAGACAGTCTACTAGCCACGCACGAGGAACAAGACAGTCTAGTAGCCACACACGAGGAACAAGACAGTCTAGTAGCCACACACGAGGAACAAGACAGTCTAGTAGCCACACACGAGGAACAAGACAGTCTAGTAGCCACACACGAGGAACAAGACAGTCTAGTAGCCACACACGAGGAACAAGACAGTCTAGTAGCCACACACGAGGAACAAGACAGTCTAGTAGCCACACACGAGGAACAAGACAGTCTAGTAGCCACACACCAGGGAACAAGACAGTCTAGTAGCCACACACGAGGAACAAGACAGTCTGGTAGCCACACACGAGGAACAAGACAGTCTAGTAGCCACACACGAGGAACAAGACAGTCTAGTAGCCACACACGATGAACAAGACAGTCTAGTAGCCACACACGAGGAACAAGACAGTCTAGTAGCCACACACGATGAACAAGACAGTCTAGTAGCCACACACGAGGAACAAGACAGTCTAGTAGCCACACACGATGAACAAGACAGTCTAGTAGCCACACACGATGAACAAGACAGTCTAGTAGCCACACACGATGAACAAGACAGTCTAGTAGCCACACACGATGAACAAGACAGTCTAGTAGCCACACACGATGAACAAGACAGTCTAGTAGCCACACACGATGAACAAGACAGTCTAGTAGCCACACACGATGAACAAGACAGTCTAGTAGCCACACACGAGGAACAAGACAGTCTAGTAGCCACACACGATGAACAAGACAGTCTAGTAGCCACACACGATGAACAAGACAGTCTAGTAGCCACACACGATGAACAAGACAGTCTAGTAGCCACACACGATGAACAAGACAGTCTAGTAGCCACACACGATGAACAAGACAGTCTAGTAGCCACACACGATGAACAAGACAGTCTAGTAGCCACACACGAGGGAACAAGACAGTCTAGTAGCCACACACGAGGGAACAAGACAGTCTAGTAGCCACACACGAGGAACAAGACAGTCTAGTAGCCACACACGAGGAACAAGACAGTCTAGTAGCCACACACGAGGAACAAGACAGTCTAGTAGCCACACACGAGGAACAAGACAGTCTAGTAGCCACACACGAGGAACAAGACAGTCTAGTAGCCACACACGAGGAACAAGACAGTCTAGTAGCCACACACGAGGAACAAGACAGTCTAGTAGCCACACACCAGGGAACAAGACAGTCTAGTAGCCACACACGAGGGAACAAGACAGTCTAGTAGCCACACACGAGGAACAAGACAGTCTAGTAGCCACACACGAGGGAACAAGACAGTCTAGTAGCCACACACGAGGAACAAGACAGTCTAGTAGCCACACACGAGGAACAAGACAGTCTGGTAGCCACACACCAGGGAACAAGACAGTCTAGTAGCCACACACGAGGGAACAAGACAGTCTAGTAGCCACACACGAGGAACAAGACAGTCTAGTTGCCACACACCAGGGAACAAGACAGTCTAGTAGCCACACACGAGGGAACAAGACAGTCTAGTAGCCACACACGAGGAACAAGACAGTCTAGTTGCCACACACGAGGAACAAGACAGTCTAGTAGCCACACACGAGGAACAAGACAGTCTAGTAGCCACACACGAGGAACAAGACAGTCTAGTAGCCACACACGAGGAACAAGACAGTCTAGTAGCCACACACGAGGAACAAGACAGTCTAGTAGCCACACACCAGGGAACAAGACAGTCTAGTAGCCACACACGAGGAACAAGACAGTCTAGTAGCCACACACGAGGAACAAGACAGTCTAGTAGCCACACACCAGGGAACAAGACAGTCTAGTAGCCACACACGAGGAACAAGACATTCTAGCAGCCACACACGAGGAACAAGACAGTCTCGTTCACGTGCTTCACTTGTTCACACTTGTTCACACTTGTTCACACTTGGGTTACCATTGAACCTCAAATGTTCCCTTCGTTTTATCCTCACAAGTTCACCAATTTGGATGAACATTTAGACGTTTAAACCCAATTAGAAGAATTTGATTTTGACTTATTGATCAAAATTAGGTATTTGAGTGTAAGTGGAGGTGATAGTGGGGTGTGAGGGGGGAAAAAGAGGGGAGAAGAGGAGACGAGGGGAGATGAGAGAAATGGAATGGGAGAAGAGAATTTATTTGGTAGGTAGGTATGAAGAGGTGACGTGGAGAAAGTAGAGAGATAAAGAAAGGGTAGAGAGAGGTAGGAAGAGAGAGTATATGTAGGAAGAGGAAGGTAGGGAGGGTGCAGAGGAGAGAGAAAAATAGTATATAAAGAGAAGAGAGAGGTATGGACGGTGGAGAAGAGAGAGAAAGAGAGTATAGGAAGAGAAGAGAGAAAAGAAGAATATGGAAAGTAGAGAAAGATAGGGAGAGGAGTAAAGAAAAATGGGAATAGCAAATGGAGAGAGAGAGAAAATATAAAAGAGGAAGAAAGAGGACTAATTAAAGAAAAGAAGAGAAGAAAGAGAGAAGAAGAGAGGAGAAAGAAGAGGGTAGAAGGAAGAGAGGGTAAGTAAGTTACAGAGGCAGGAAGCCAGACTTGTACTGTTGACACTGCTGGATCATCTCTTATTGTGAGGTGATTTATGAGTCTGTCTGTCTGTCTGTCTGTCTGTCTGTCTCTCTCTCTCTCTCTCTCTCTCTCTCTCTCTCTCTCTTTCTCTCTCTCTCTCTCTCTGCGTTTTACAAGGTTAAGCCGAGATTCCTAACTTTATTTATCTGTGGGCCAGAGGGTGAAGCTGGAGCCATCTGTGGGTCAAAGGGTGAAGTTGGAGCCATCTGTGGGTCAGAGGGTGAAGTTGGAGCCATCTGTGGGTCAGAGGGTGAAGCTGGAGCCATCTGTGGGCTAGTAATTTCAACTGACTTCATTTCGTTGACATCATAATGCTGTACGAACATGTCAAGTCATCCTGGGAATAAATGATCTCAGATGTAATAATAACAGAAAAAGGCGCAATACCGTGACTAGAACGATACACGAATATCCTGAACACGACTTACGACTACGTTTCGGTCCAATTCGGACTGAAACGTCGTCTTAAGCTCCTCTCTTCTATGTGCGGGTTATTTATGTATCTCAGATCTAGCGATGTTCTGGAGAAGGTTACAGAGTGTAGTTGCTGCTTGCTGCCCGTCTTGTGGTGCAGTAGCTGTCTTCTCACTGCCCGTCTTGTGGTGTAGTAGCTGTCTTCTCACTGCCCGTCTTGTGGTGTAGTAGCAGTCTTCTTACTGCCCGTCTTGTAGTGTAGTAGCTGTCTTCTCACTGCCCGTCTTGTAGTGTAGTAGCTGTCTTCTTACTGCCCGTCTTGTAGTGTAGTAGCTGTCTTCTCACTGCCCGTCTTGTAGTGTAGTAGCTGTCTTCTTACTGCCCGTCTTGTGGTGTAATAGTTGTCTTCTTACTGTCCTCGGAGTGGACCCAAGTGTATGACCTTAACATTGGCCTTGTGCAACATTGACCTTGACAACATTGACCTTGTACATTACAGTGAGGTCACACAGGTACTCTAATATTGACCTTGTATATAACAGTAAGGTCACCCAGGAACCTTGACAACGCTGACCTTGTATATAACAGTAAGGTCACCCAGGTACCTTACATAGCAGTATGGTCACCGAGGCACCTTGACAACGCTGACCTTGTATATAACAGTAAGGTCACCCAGGAACCTTGACAACATTGACCTTGTATATAACAGTAAGGTCACTCACCTCCTGCTGAAATGGAAGACCTGTCCAGGCTGGGTCCAGGCCAGAGATGAGTCGCCTTGCCTTGCTTGATACACCATTGATGAGTTCCAAGAATCTTTTTACTCACAGAACCCGGCCATGGGCCAGGTTTGACCGGTGTTTGCCTGATCAACCAGGCTGTTGCTGTTGGAGGCCCTCTGGTTCACATATCCATCACAGCCTGGTTGATCTGGTACCTGGTGAAGACACTTGTCCAGTTTCTTGAAGATTTGTACACTTGTTCCAGCAGTGTTTCTGATATCTTGAAGACTTCTACACTTGTTCCAGCAGTGTTTCTGATATCTTGAAGACTTCTACACTTGTTCCAGCAGTGTTTCTGATATCTTGAAGACTTCTACACTTGTTCCAGCAGTGTTTCTGATATCTTGAAGACTTCTACACTTGTTCCAGCAGTGTTTCTGATATCTTGAAGACTTCTACACTTGTTCCAGCAGTGTTTCTGATATCTTGAAGACTTCTACACTTGTTCCAGCAGTGTTTCTGATATCTTGAAGACTTCTACACTTGTTCCAGCAGTGTTTCTGATATCTTGAAGACTTCTACACTTGTTCCAGCAGTGTTTCTGATATCTTGAAGACTTCTACACTTGTTCCAGCAGTGTTTCTGATATCTTGAAGACTTCTACACTTGTTCCAGCAGTGTTTCTGATATCTTGAAGACTTCTACACTTGTTCCAGCAGTGTTTCTGATATCTTGAAGACTTCTACACTTGTTCCAGCAGTGTTTCTGATATCTTGAAGACTTCTACACTTGTTCCAGCAGTGTTTCTGATATCTTGAAGACTTCTACACGTGTTTCTGATATCTTGAAGACTTCTACACTTGTTCCAGCAGTGTTTCTGATATCTTGAAGACATTCGTGGCCCCAGACTATTCAACATCTTACCAGAATATATCAGAAACATTGCTGGAACAAGTGTAGTAGTCTTTAAGAGGAAACTGGACAAGTATCTTCAACAGGTGCGAGATCAATCAGGCTGTGATGGATATGTGGGTCAGCGGGTCGCCAGCAGCAGCAACAGTCTGGTTGACCACGCTAACACCATACGAGCCTGGCTTATGGTATATAAGAGGCACTTTTTTTGCAATATTTCTGATGTCTACTGGTAGCAGGTTGAAGAGTCTTGGATCATGCATGTTGACACTGTTCTTGTGCCCATGGAACAACCAGATTGTTGCCTCCAGTGGTTGGTGCCAGGTTGAAGAGTCCTGGACCACGCATGTTGACACAGTATCCCCTGGAGTTATTGTTATCTTATTCCATATGTCTCACTCCAATAAATGGGCAGTAAATAATCTCTTTACAATTTCCAGCTCTGATATCTCGCCTCCCATATTTCTCACACCAGGAATTGTGGCTTCACCAGGCTTTACAAAGTCAAGACTTGATAAAGCTCTACACCGAGAGAAACCTTGTTTTTGTCTAAAGCTTGTGTCATTTGTTTAGGATTTTGTTCCTAGGGGAATAAAAGGCTAATAGGCTAAAAATATCTCCTGATCGAGGGACTGACTACCTCAAACGTCATCTCCAAAGTTCATCTTTGTATTAGACTGATAAAGCCACTGTTGCACAAGCGTTTTATTCATCTATTCTGTTCCTTCCTCATCAAAGTTTTGTTTCTTCTACAGGTTACTGCCAGGAAGGTGACGTCTTCCGTTCTTCCTTCTCGGGAAAGAGTTCCTGTGACAGTCCTTCTAGGATCACTTGCTCTCCCAGGTGGTCACAGATCCTTCCAGAGGACGCTACTCAAGCCTTCGCAGAGACTAGGGAGGTTCAAGAGAAGGTCAGTAAGGTCCTCCTTGAATCGGAAAGGTCCTCAGCCCCGAGGACCTTCCAGGGTGAGAATGGAGGCTACGTAGCAAGGTCCAAGACCGGCTCTGCGGTCCCAACCCTTCTGTCTGTCCCTAAGACTGCGCCGGTACATACTCGCGTCCCAAACATAACAGACTTCAATAATCGAAAACCCGAAGCTGCAGACTTTCACAGATTCAGTCCCAAGACTCCAGGCTCTAGCAAGTCACCTCCGGAAGCTACTGACTTTCACAGACAGGTCGTAGATGCAACAGATTTACACAGACGCGTCTCAGAGGTTGCAGATTTATATAGATATATCTTAAGTAGACGCGTTCTAGAAGCCACGGGTCTCTATAGGTCTGCCAAAGATTCCAGCAGACGTGGCCTCAACAACACCGGTGCCAACACCAGCGAGCGGCGTTTTCCCTGCCTTCCTCTAGGCCGCAAAGGCCAGCAAGAGCTCCATAGGCACCAACGGCAGGATTCGACTGAGCCCCGGCTACCGAGCAGCTCGGAGCAGCGGTTGACCTTCAACAGGGAGGCCAACAGAGAGTGGATCAGCAGACAGAAGAACCACGCTTCCCTGGCCCCGTCAGAACAGTCTTTCCGCTCGTCTGCTTCCAGTCGCTGGCCCGCCGCTCTTCAGCGAGTCTTCGAGAGACGAGGTGAGTCCATTACCCTCATTACATCCCTAACGGATCAGTCAGAGCAAGATGTGTAGACTCGATAATCCGTCCTAAATTACTAAACAGAAACGCTGCTGTCTTAGTTATTCAGTTACTGAAGACTAGAGAAACAGTATAATCTATGTGATATGTCAAGATATCTAATTAATGAAAATAAGATACCAGATATATTAAGTAAATTTCTTAAATTTGCTTGTAACAAAGAAGTCAACTATAGATATAAATCCAGACGTACTCTTGTAAACCCTCTTGAGGCCTAGTTCCTAGGCCTTATATGTATCCATATACTCATGTGCTGCCATCCACAGGATGGATATGAGGTACATAATAAACTAGCGACTACCATCCACAGGATGGATATGGGGTACACAATAAACTAGCCACTACCATCCACAGGATGGATATGAGGTACACAATAAACTAGCCACTACCATCCACAGGATGGATATGAGGTACACAATAAACTAGCCACTACCATCCACAGGATGGATATGAGGTACACAATAAACTAGCCACTACCATCCACAGGATGGATATGAGGTACACAATAAACTAGCCACTACCATCCACAGGATGGATATGAGGTACACAATAAACTAGCCACTACCATCCACAGGATAGATATGGTATTAGTATAATAGATTACGTGCATTGCTTTAGCATGGTAGTGCATTATATTGGTGAGGTGATATGGTAGTGTTAATTGCATGGTAGTTTGAATCTTATAGAACTAATTACAATACAATTATTATTTGTATAGTAATTTTTCAAGGATGGTACAACTAGTATGGTATTTATCATGGTAGAGTAGTGGACCCCCGGTTAACAATATTTTTTTTTCACTCCAGAAGTATGTTCAGGTGCCAGTACTGACCGAATTTGTTCCCATAAGGAATATTGTGAATTAGATTAGTCAATTTCAGACCCCCAAACATACACATGCAAACGCACTTACATAAATACACTTACATAATTGGTCGCATTCGGAGGTGATCGTTATGCGGGGGTCCACTGTATATGATATGATTTTGAATCACAGGACAGATGGAATGATATAATAGACAGAGACTTTACAAAAGTCTTCGACCAGTGCAGTCATAATGTTATTGATTACAAAATGTCTCATAAAGGAATAACTGGAAAAATGGATAGATATTAGACTTCCTAGCTAAGTTAACACAAAGAGTAATAGTAAACGGAGTTATGTCAGAGGCTGCCAGGCTGGAAAGTTCTGTTCCCCAAGGCACAGTACTTGCCCCAATTCTTTTTCCTCATATCCGAGATAGAGAAATAAATCACAGAGCAACATCTTTGCTGATGATACTAGAACTAGCGGAGGAATGTCACCCACTGAGGACACAGAAATCTCCAAGTGGGCCACAAAAAGCAACGTGATACCCAGTGAGAACAAATTAGTTCCACCTTTATAGAAAAACTGACGAAATGAAAACGGGACAAGATTACAAAAACCCAAACTACACAATTAAATAAAAATACTAACGTGAGGGACTTAAGAGTGATAATGAGTGAAGCTCTGGGTTCGAAGGACCAAAACAGTGTAATTACCAGACCGCAGTGAAATAAACAGAATAACTATGTTAGTGATGATATCACCGTGGTTTTGTTGCACTCGAGCAACCCTTTCAAGACAGGAGAAATTCCAAATACAGAGTAGAGAGAACCTTCACTGCTTGTATAAAGTCCCTCAGGTTCATAAATGACTGGGAATGCCTGCAGTCTTATGTATGTTTTGAACTGTAGGCGATAAAGATACAACATAATTTGCACAAGAAAATTTCAAGAGCGACTGATCCCAAATCTGCCCACATAAATCAACCCCTACGAAAGAAAGAAGCTCGTGCAACAGTAGGAAATACCCAATGTGAAAATCAGGGGCATCATAAGTGCACTGTGAGACAAATGTAAAGGGACCATGACTCATCAGCAGCCTACCTTTATATATAACAGAGTTAACACAAGCCTGGTTGTCTTCACGAGGAACTTGAAGTTCTCAAGTGGGCTCATGATTAGCTCAGGCTGACACTACTGAAGTCTCCCAGTTCAGGCTGACACTACTGAAGTCTCCCAGTTCAGGCAGACACTACTGAAGTCTCCCAGTTCAAGCTGACACTACTGAAGTCTCCCAGTTCAAGCTGACACTACTGAAGTCTCCCAGTTCAAGCTGACACTATTAAAGTCTCCTAGTTCAGGCTGACACTACTGAAGTCTCCCAGTTCAGGCAGACACTACTGAAGTCTCCCAGTTCAAGCTGACACTACTGAAGTCTCCCAGTTCAAGCTAACACTATTAAAGTCTCCCAGTTCAGGCTGACACTACTGAAGTCTCCCAGTTCAGGCTGACACTACTGAAGTCTCCCAGTTCAGGCTGACACTATTAAAGTCTCCCAGTTTAGGCTGACACTATTAAAGTCTCCCAGTTCAGGCTGACACTACTGAAGTCTCCCAGTTCAGGCTGACACTACTGAAGTCTCCCACTTCAGGCTGACACCACTGAAGTCTCCCAATTCAAGCTGACACTACTGAAGTCTCCCAATTCAAGCTGACACTATTAAAGTCTCCCAGTTCAGGTTGACACTACTGAAGTCTCCCAGCTCAGGCTGACACTACTGAAGTCTCCCAATTCAAGCTGACACTATTAAAGTCTCCCAGTTCAGGCTGACACTACTGAAGTCTCCCAGCTCAGGCTGACACTGAAGTCTGCCAGCTCAGGCTGACACTAATGAAGTTTCCCAGCTCAGGCTGACACTACTGAAGTTTCCCAGGTCATGCTGACACTACTGAAGTCCCCCAGTTCAGGCTGACATTACTAAAGTCTCCCAGTTCAGGCTGACTCTACTGAAGTCTCAAAGTTCAGGCTGACATTACTAAAGTCTCCCAGCTCAGGCTGACACTGCTAAAGTCTCCCAGCTCAGGCTGACATTACTGAAGTCTACCAGCTCAGGCTGACACTACTGAAGTCTACCAGCTCAGGCTGACACTACTGAAGACTCCCAGCTCAGGCTGACACTACTGAAGTCTCCCAGCTCAGGCTGACACTACTGAAGTCTCCCAGCTCAGGCTGACACTACTGAAGTCTCCCAGCTCAGGCTGACACTACTGAAGACTCCCAGCTCAGGCTGACAATACTGAAGTCTAGCAGCTCAGGCTGACACTACTGAAGTCTCCCAGCTCAGGCTGACACTACTGAAGTCTCCCAGCTCAGGCTGACGCTACTAAAGTCTCCCAGCTCAGGCTGACATTACTGAAGTCTACCAGCTCAGGCTGACACTACTGAAGTCTCCCAGCTCAGGCTGACACTACTGAAGTCTCCCAGCTCAGGCTGACACTACTGAAGTCTCCCAGCTCAGGCTGACACTACTGAAGTCTACCAGCTCAGGCTGACAATACTGAAGTCTCCCAGCTCAGGCTGACACTACTGAAGTCTCCCAGCTCAGGCTGACACTACTGAAGTCTCCCAGCTCAGGCTGACACTACTGAAGTTTCCCAGCTCAGGCTGACACTACTGAAGTTTCCCAGCTCAGGCTGACACTACTGAAGTCTCCCAGCTCAGGCTGACACTGAAGTCTCTCAGCTCAGGCTGACACTACTGAAGTTTCCCAGCTCAGGCTGACACTACTGAAGTCTCCCAGTTCAGGCTGACACTACTGAAGTCTCCCAGTTCAGGCTGACACTGAAGTCTCTCAGCTCAGGCTGACACTACTGAAGTTTCCCAGCTCAGGCTGACACTACTGAAGTCTCCCAGTTCAGGCTGACACTGAAGTCTCTCAGATCAGGCTGACACTAATGAAGTCTCCCAGCACAGGCTGACACTACTGAAGTTTCCCAGCTCAGGCTGACACTACTGAAGTCTCCCAGCTCAGGCTGACACTACTGAAGTCTCCCAGCTCAGGCTGACACTACTAAAGTCTCCCAGCTCAGGCTGACACTACTGAAGTCTCCCAGCTCAGGCTGACACTACTAAAGTCTCCCAGCTCAGGCTGACATTACTGAAGTCTACCAGCTCAGGCTGACACTTCTGAAGTCTACCAGCTCAGGCTGACACTACTGTAGTCTCCCAGCTCAGGCTGACACTACTGAAGTCTCCCAGCTCAGGCTGACACTACTGAAGTCTCCCAGCTCAGGCTGACACTACTGAAGTCTCCCAGCTCAGGCTGACACTACTGAAGTCTCCCAGCTCAGGCTGACACTACTGAAGTCTCCCAGCTCAGGCTGACACTACTAAAGTCTCCCAGCTCAGGCTGACATTACTGAAGTCTACCAGCTCAGGCTGACACTACTGTAGTCTCCCAGCTCAGGCTGACATTACTGAAGTCTACCAGCTCAGGCTGACACTACTGAAGTCTCCCAGCTCAGGCTGACACTACTGAAGTCTCCCAGCTCAGGCTGACACTACTAAAGTCTCCCAGCTCAGGCTGACATTACTGAAGTCTACCAGCTCAGGCTGACACTACTGTAGTCTCCCAGCTCAGGCTGACATTACTGAAGTCTACCAGCTCAGGCTGACACATATCAACACCTTGTAAGAGCACCATCCTGTGTGATGGAATATGACAGACATGGCTAGCTTTTGTTCCCACAATGTAACCATCATATAGAATAGTGTAGCAACACTGCTGGTGTTCCCACAATGTAACTATCATACTGATTAGTGCAGCAACACTGCTGGTGTTCCCACAATGTAACTATCATATAGAATAGTGTAGCAACACTGCTGGTGTTCCCACAATGTAACTATCATATAGAATAGTGTAGCAACACTGCTGGTGTTCCCACAATGTAACTATCATATAGAATAGTGTAGCAACACTGCTGGAGTTACCACAATGTAACTATCATATAGAATAGTGTAGCAACACTGCTGGAGTTACCACAATGTAACTATCATATAGAATAGTGTAGCAACACTGCTGGTGTTCCCACAATGTAACTATCATATAGAATAGTGTAGCAACACTGCTG